ATTAAGAGTAGAATGGATGAGGGGCGCCTGGGTGGCTCAGTCGGTTGAGCATCCGACTTCGGCTCAGGTAGTGATCTCACGGTCCGTGAGTTCAAGCCCCATGTCGGGCTCTGTGCTGGGCTCTGTGCTGACAGCATGGAGCCTGGAGCCTGCTTTGAGTCTGTGTCTCCCTCTCTCTGACCCTCCCCTGTTCATGCTCTGTCTCTCTCTGTCTCAAAAATAAATAAAAACATTAAAAAAAATTTTTAAAAAACAGACACTTGCTAATATCATAAAAAAAAAAAGTAGAATGGATGAATGTATTGTGATATAAACATACAATGGAACACCATACTGCAATAAAAATGAATAACTATAAGCAACATTACTGAATATTAAGCAAAGAAACCAGAAACAAGAGTTTACAATTGTTGTTTGTTCCCTCAGAATGAACTTCCCTCAGAGAAGTGTTCCCTATGTTCTCCTCTGCCTCTCCAGCACTTTTGGATGGGCAGATCTATCTACTGCCAGAGTAAGGACAACATAATACATTCTTCAGGATCAGCTTTGTCAGTGATAAAAGTGACCTTTTGGAGGAGGGGAAGAGCGAGAGAGAGCAAAAAATATGAATATCAAGTAGAGGGGGAAATGTGAAATAGAATATCAACAGGGGTGTCTGGGTGGCTCAGTCGGTTGAGTGTTGGACTCTGATTTCGGCTCACATCATGATCTCACCGATCAGGGCATCCAGTCCTCTGTCAGACTCTGCAAAGACAGCGCTGAGCCTACGTGGGATTCTCTCTCTCCCTCTCTCTCCCCCTTCCCTGTGTGCACCCTCTCTCTATGAAAATAAATTAACATTTTTTTTAAATGTGGTTTTAAAGAATACAAACAAAATGGGGGAACCTGGCTGGCTCCATCAGTAGAGCATGAGACTCTTGATCTCAGGATTCTAAGCTTGAGCCCCAAGGTAAGTATAGAGATTACTTAAAAATAAAAATCTTGAAAAAAAGGAGGAAAATCTCTTAGAGTCGAAAGCTAAGCTCGCTAATAGATTTAGAAGAAATGATGGAAACAGAATCACTTTGGCAGCCATCAGGCAAAACTCACTAATAAATGTAAAACTAGGGGGTAAAAGTTTGAGGGATAGCAGGATATTTACAAAGTCTCAGTCTCCCTATAAGATATTCATTAAGTATATAAAGTGAAAACTACTGACTTTACAATGGAGAATTCTGGAAGATATTACCTTAAGCAAGAGATCAAAATTAAGATCATAGGAGTGCCTGGGTGGCTCAGTAGGTTAAGCGTCCAACTTCAGCTCAGGTCTTGATCTCAGGGTTCATGAGTCTACTAAGCCCTGCATCAGGGTCTCTGCTGTCAGTGCAGAGCCTGCTTTGAATCCTGTCTCTCTCTCTCTCTCTCTCTCTCTCTCTCTCTCTCTCTGCCCTTCCCCTGCTCATGCTCTACCTCAGTCTGTCTCTCAAAATAAATAAATCTTAAAAAAAAATAAGATCATAATAGTAGGACAAACTGACATCATGTCCCACCTGATAAGAAGACATTCCTACAAAAATGTATAACCCAAACCTCATCATGAGGAAACATTAAACAGACTCAAATTACAAAATAAGTGATCTGCACTTTGTAAAAGTATCATAAAGGACGAATCCTGAGGAACTGACCTATGACACCCCCCGAAAAAAGAGTATGATTGTATGATTCTATTTATATCAAATTCTAGAAAATAAAAAATCTATAGTGACAAAAGATACTATTTGCCTAAACAGAAAGGGTGCAGGGAGGGGGTAGGGACTACAAAGGGGCACAAAGGAATTTTTGGAGGTGATGGCTTTTGTGCTAATAGTTGCATAGTGTATACATTATGTCATAGCTATCAAATTATATACTTTATACTCTCTCTTTTTTAAAAAAAATTTTTTTAATGTTTACTCATTTTTGAGAGACAGAGAGAGACAGAGTATGAGCGGGGAAGGGGCAGAGAGAGAGGGAGACACAGAATCGGAAGCAAACTCCAGGCTCTGAGCTGTCAGCACAGAGCCCGACATGGGGCTCAAACTCACGAACTGCGAGATCATGACCTGAGCTGAAGTTGGACGCTTAACCGACTGAGCCACCCAGGCACCACCCCCCTTTTTTAAGTTTATTTATTTTTGAGAGAGAGAGAGAGAGTGCGTGGGTGAAGGAGGGGAAGAGAGAGGGGGAGACAGAGAATCTCTGTGCTATCAGCAGAGACCAATGCAAGCCTGACTCAGGGCTGGAACCCACAAACCATGAGATCATGACCTGAGCCTAAATCAAGAGTCAGATGCTTAATCAACTGAGTCACCCAGGTGTCCCTGCTTTATATTGTCTTATCATTTAACTTATTTAGCACATATCACCATGCCAAGTCTAGGCAGGCACTAGAAAAACAACCTGGGGAACACACACAAATAGTTGTGGCACAGTGAGGGGTGAGTGAATGGGTGGAGTCTTGTCAGATAGGGAAAGGAAGAATGTGTACCATAAACATGGACACTGAAGTTGGAACACACATGGTGAGCTTGGGGAAATACAAGGAGCTGGATACTACTGAAACTTCAAGATTAATATGAGAAGCAGTGACAACAAACAAGACAGAGGTCAGCTGTGTCAAGATCTTGAAGATCTTGTATTTCATGCTAAGAAACTAGGCTTCACCTATACTTGGCAGGCACCAAAAGCTTTGCTCTATTTTTGTTTTGTTTTGAGTGAGATATATCACACATACAGAAGAGCACTAAATGTATTTAGGTAAGAGAATCATCAGGGATTTAGAAAGAAAACTCAGACTGTATTTAAGGAGAGGTTGTTCAACATCCTGACTTCTCTGCTAGCCAGTACACTTACAACTATATCCCCAGTGCACAACCCAGAGTTGAAGTGCAGTAAATACTTGCTGTGAGAGAGAGAACACTGAAATTGTCCCAATAAGGGATAAAGGCATCGTCTATAGAAGTGGCTAAGAAAATGGAGAGGAAGGAGTGCTCAGATCTCATAAACAAGAAATCTAGAGGAGGGAGAGGAAGGGATCAATGATGACTGAATTTTCCATTCGGGGTGACAATGCAGACAGTAAGCCATTAAGCCAAATATGTAATGACAAAAGAGGAGCAGGTCTAGGAAAAAAGAAAACAAATTCACTTACACCTATCAGGGACAGAGTGAGTACCTTCGGCAATGATGCCATTTGGCAATCTTACAAATCAGGAACTTACAAGGGAGGTCTCTGCTGTAAGATACTGCTGCTGCTAGGTATTGTCCATGTACGTTTGTAAACCATCAGGTTGCTGGCCACTCCCACATTTGTGAAGCGACTTGAGTAAAAATTACTCATTGCAGTAAGGTTTGGAATAACAGAGTATTTTATTTATTTAAAAAATTTTTGTAACGTTTATTCAGTTTTGAGAGACAGAGTGTGAGCGGGAGAGGGGCAGAGAGAGGGAGACACAGAATCTAAAGCAGGCTCCAGGCTCTGAGCTGTCAGCACAGAGCCCGACCTGAGCTGAACTAGGATGCTTAACTGACTGAGCCACCCAGGTGCCCTTGGAATAACAGAGTATTTTAGAAACACCTTAGGGGTGCCTGGGTGGCTCAGTCGGTTAAGCGTCCAACTCTTGATTTTGGCTCAGGTCATGATTTCATGGTTCATGGATTCACAAGCCCCACATCGGGCTTTGCATAGACTGTGGAGTCTGCTTGGGATTCTCTCTCTCCCTCTCTCTCTCTGCCTCTCCCCTGCTCACTCTCGCTCTCTATCTCAAAATAAATAAATAAACATTAAAAAATTTTAAGGAAAGCAAAAATAATATGCAAACAAGGAAGGGGACAAAACATAAGAGACTCCTAAATATAGAGAACAAACAGGGTTGTTGGAGGGGGAGTGGGCTGAATGGATAAGGGACATTAAGGAAGATACTTGTTGGGATGAGCACTGGGTGTTATACATGGGGGACGAATCATTGGAATCTACTCCTGAAATCATTGTTGCGCTATATGCTAACTAAGTTGGATGTAAATTAAAATATTAATTAATTAAAAAAATTTTTTTAATTTAAAGAAACACCTTAAATGCCCATCAATATATGATTGGTTAAATGTCTGATCTCTTGTTTGCAATGGGTCAAATAGAAAGTCAGCATTTTGGATAGATAAGAATGAAATAGAAAAGACTAACTTAAATTTAAGCTCACAATACTTTAAAATTAATCTCTTCTATACCTTTATTCACAGCAGACACAAAATAAGCATACCTTCAAGTGAGTGATCTAAAAATCATAAAACACCAAGTTGGCATGTGTTTTAAAGGTCTGAAAAGCAAGTTTAAGTATTAACCAAGTTCCATAAAAAGTCTAAGTCAACCAATACTTTTAGTGCCTTAGGTTCATCAACTGTAATAATGAGAACTAAGGTTTATGTACCACTTTAGAGTTTACAAATTCTTTTTAACTTCTGATGACCATTTAATCCTAACCACATGAGATATGTAGAGCAAGTGGAAATCACCTACCAAAAGGTGCGATGAAAGCTTTATTGTTGTTTCACCTTCAAGGCAAATTTTCAAAATTAACGATACCGACCATTTTATTCTTTCAAAAGAAAAGAAGTTTAACTCCTCTGGTTCCTCAAGCTGCAAGGGAGTTAATGAATGTTCCACTGTTAATTTAAATTTAAGTTAAACCTGTAACTTCCAAAAAAAGACACACAACTAGCCAAAATAAGGCAAAGTGGAAATCTTTGCAAAACCATGTTTCATGTCACTGCTCTGTCTCATCAAATCCTTTAATGTAAAATTTTATGTTCTAGTTTTGTGAGACAAATTCTAAAAATAAGCTAATGTATCACTGCACAAGACATATTTCAGGTAGATCCATACATTCTTATAGATAATATAACATTTTATCAAAGTAAAGTGTTCTGCACAAATCACTCTATGAAAGTCTTACAGGCGTCTCCCAGCCCCTGGGACGTTTACTTACCTCTGAAGGCACAATGACGGATGGTTTCTTTTTCAGTTCCTCACATTTCCTCTTCTTACAGATCTGATGGCTATTCTTTCTGTTCTTACAGTAAGTACATTCACCACAATTGGTCTTCTGCTGGCAGGGCCCACACACCCCACACCGCTTTCGTTTCTTCTTTTCCAAAGTAGGTAGCAAAGTTGTATAGGAGGAAGGGGAGGCCCTGGCAATTGAACCTGGCCTAGATACCACTGTGGTATTGATGTCAACCATGCTGGTCACGCTGATCTGGGAGCTCCCTCCTTCCAATTTGCTGGGACCAGCCTGGGAGAGTTGGGTAATGCCCTGTGAAGCATGGAAGAGTCCTCTCTCAGGGGCTAAGGTGAATGCCTGAGTGTTAGCTGGCAGAAAGCTTATATGAACCTGCTTCTGATTTTCTATATTGCTAATAGTCATCACAGGAGGTACCGAACTTATCTCAGAGTTTAATGATGGCTGAGGAGTGTGACCTGAGCCCAAAGGCAAAATCTGCATTGCTCCCTGGACCTCGAGCCCATATGAAACAGTGCTCTGGGGCTCAGGCCATTCTGGGAGAACACTATAGGTAGCAATTGGGTTTAGCGGAGCAGGAACAAAGATAGGTGGGTCTGAGGCAGTACCGCCACCCATCCCAAGGATTTGTTGGTCTAGGATAGCACCAAAGACCTCTCCTTGGACTGGAATAGCACCAGGAATCTCTGGTGGGGCTGGAGTCTCATCCAGAGCCTCTCTGTGTACTGGGTTAGCACCAGGAACTTCCCATTGATGTGGGACAGCACTAAAAGCCTGTCCTAGGACAGGGGTTGTATCAGGAATTGCCTGTTGATCTGGGGTAGCTTTGAGTACCTCTTGATTATCTGGTTTAGCACCAAGCGTTCCTTGTTCAGAGCTTGCCAAGAGGAGTTTTATTAATGAGGTAGGATATATTGACCCACCAATGGACAAACAGTTTCTAAGGTCCAATTCAGGTATAACCTTATTAAAGCTGGAGGTGGGGTAGCAATCATGTTCACTTTTGATAGGATCCAGGTAAGAATCAGATAGCTTAAGAGATTCTACTCGTGAACCCAAATCTTCTAACTGAATGCTGGAGTTTCCTTCGTAAGTAACCTTGAGGGCTGCTCTTTGGAGCAAAGGAGCACACAGAGTGTCCTGAGCAAACATTCTAGGGGAATCACTTGTATCAGTCAATGTCTCTTTAGAGAATAGTCCTTCACCACCATGTGTCCCTTCCAATGACCCAGAAGGGATCTCTACTGCAGGACCACTGTGAGTGGAGATATTTATTTTGGTATCCTCCACCTTTTGGGACCAAGACTGGGTTGTCTCTTGGCTCTCACCTTCAATTAAAGATGCATTTTGTACACCAATTAGATTCTCTGTATCAGGAGCAATTAGGGGAACTTGGGTTGGAATTGAATCATTTTCTGAGTGTTTCACTCCTTTGTCAGTAACTACATTACAATCACATTCATGTTGCTTTTCTAAATGCTTAGCAGGTGGAATTTTCTTAGGTTTGGCTATGATCACTGGAGGTTGGGAGAGTCGTCTGCTAAGAGAGGTACTTCGGAGAGCCATTGTAAACCCATTGCAAGTTAAGGATTCTGGGTTCTGAAAAAGAACCTCAGTCCTATCCAAATTCATTCGTGCCGCTCCAGCTCTTGTCAGAAGGCTTCTGACTGGCATAGGTGTTTTGGGTTCTATTTTTTTCTTAACATCTCTTTCTTGAATTAATTGCTTTACTCCTTTTCCAGGGCTCACAGTCTTGACTGATGCCACATTTTTATTGGCTAGCTTAGATGTCTTCTTCAGTTGGCTGCTTTTCTTTCTGTTTAGATCTTCCCTCCTGATTAGTCTGGAAGGCCTTGCATGGCGGGATCGAGACATAGCTACAGAGTAGGAATAAATGAAAGGGCACAAGGAACAGAGTCATTGGTCCTTTGGAAAGTCTCGCCTCTGAGGAGAATCTGAATGTACCATGGTTGAGTTCAGCCCACAAAATTTTGGTCTGAAATAACAAAAAAAAAACATTGGAAGTGAGTCTTTTTCCTATGTATTCTCCCATTTGAAATAAAATACTAACAATTATTAATCAAAATTGGGAATGAGAACGTTTACTGCAAAAGAAAAATATAATAAACACAAAAGATACTAACATATCCTTTAAACCCCAGATTCACAAATAAAGCTCCTTTAATTACTGTGACAAATGATTTAGCTGATGAAGTTCTACGAACAGGGTAAGCATGTGGGTTATTCTACATTAGAAACCACAATTGTTGTAGGTACATGTAGTTTAAAGATCAAATCCCAATCTTTACAAATTTTGGATACTTAAAAAATTATCTGTTAATCTTTCCTCAGCATATCACCACACAAGATGAGGTATCATCTGGTAAAACCAGAGAAGTTTATATAATTCAAGAAACTCTACTTGGAGATCTAGTAATATTAATACCACATTCCAATTAATAATCTACAAATTTTAAGCTTTACACATGCACACAAAAATGGCATAAAATCTTAGGAGTTAGTATTGACAGATTAGGTTACAGATAAGACTCACGGGTCCAACAAATATCTGTTGAGTACCTACTATGTATAAGGAAGGCATTGTGGTGGGCACTGCCCACACCCAGAAATGAGGTCCCTCTTTTCTCTTTCACCCGACTTAATCCAAAGACTGCTGGTTCTAAATCCCTTCTACCAAGGATCCCAAAAGTCTCATGATGAATGCCTAGGCAAGGAAATTGGAAATAAAGAGAAAATGAGATAATTAGAACAGTAAAGCATACTAGGCAAGCAACTATTATTTGAAAGGTAAGCAAGAAAAAGGAGAAAATGAAAGGGGACTAAGAGCTACCACTGTCTTTTGGTCTCCTTTGATTGCTTACCCTAACCCAAAATAAGACCAAACTATGAGCAAGAATGAAGCTCACCATACAAGATGTATCAGTCTATTCCCTAAAGATCACAGAATCAAGAGTGGGACAGCTGGGTTGGTGAGGATTCTTTAACAGTTAACATGTTGTTGGATTTGTAAGAAAATATGTTGTAGGAGAATAGTTACCAAAAACTTGGTCTGCAACCAAGTGATCAACAGTCTGTGGCAAAATCAGGGGCAAAAAGGGCAGTATAAAGTTTTTCCATAAAGTTGAATTTATTCATTTTAGACAACTCTTCCTTACTCTGAAATGCCTCCCTGTTTTCTCTCATTAAAATGTCCTTTCTTTTAGAAAAGTAAAAGTCCTTTTTTTTTTTGAAAAGGTAGGGATAGATTTATTTTATAATGTTATTACTTGGCCAAGTAAAAACTTGACAGCCCTCTATCATTCTCAAGTTGTGCATTTGTTTTTGTGGCACTGATCTGATCCAGGTAATCCTGGGACACACTGGTGGGTTTAGTAGCTAGAGAGGAGATGTGCCCCATCAGAAAGCTGCGAGTTTGAATTTGTGATCACCTGCTAGTTCCTTCCACATCCTATTTAACTGAATCAAGGTTTCTACATCTGAACTGAGGTCGTTTTGAGGTATCATTGGGCTCCTACAGGAAAAGCTTATGTGAGGTTGAGGAGGGAGCGGGGAAGGTAGGAGAAGGACTTTGGAAACAGGCAGACTTGGGTTCAGTTTCCAGCTCAGAAACATTACTAGCCATGTGATTCTGATAAATTCTTCAGTCTCTCTATACCTCAATTTCCTCATGTGTAATAGAATAGGAAGCATAATAGTACTGACCTCACTGGGTTACCATGAGAATAAAATGAGATGAGTTGTATAAACACTTAGCATAGTGCTGGCATATACTTAGGTGTTTAATAATAAATGGGAACTTAAAAAAAATAAAGGCTGCTTATAACTCCAAAAAACAAAAAAAGAGAGATAAGCTAAATGGTTATCATTATGGAATCAGTTTAACCCAGTCTGCCATACACTGCAAAACAAGATTTAGTTCTTCTGTTTCTGTTATCACCTAACACATAGTAAGCTACACACTGCAATAAAAGACCCCAGAGCACTCATTGAGTTAAAGTCAAAGCATTGTGCCTTTAGGATATTTTTCTTGGGGCGCCTGGGTGGCTCAGTTGGTTAAGCGTCCGACTTTGGCTCAGGTCATGATCTCATGGTTTGTGGGTTTGAGCCCCATGTCGGGCTCTGTGCTGACAGCTCAGAGCCTGGAGCCTGCTTCAGATTCTGGGTCTCCCTCTCTCTCTGACCCTCCCCCATTCATGCTCTGTCTCTCTCTGTTTCAAAAATTAATAAACATTAAAAAAAAAATTAAGATATTTTTCTCTCTGTGCCCCTCCTGCGCTCTCTATCTCTCAAAATAAATAAGTAAACTTTAAAAAGAAATAATGATAGCCTTTTTGTTTCTTATTTTTTTTAAGATTTTATTTTTAAGAAATCTCTACACCCAGTGTGGGGCTCAAACTCACAACCTTGAGATCAAGAGTCAGAAGCTCCCCAACTGAGCCAGCCAGGCACCCCAAGACAGATTTTTTATTTTTTACTTAATTTTTCCCCCAAGACAGACTTTTTAATTATTTTATTTTTTAATGTGTATTTATTTATTTTTGAGAGGCAGACATTGAGTGAGCATGAGTGGGAGGGGGAGAGAGAGAGAGAGAGAGAGAGAGAGAGAGAGGAAGACAGAGAGTCCAATGCAGTCTCAAAGCCATCAGTGCAGAGTCCATGAGGGGCTTGGGGCTTGAACTCACAAACTGAGAGATCATGACCTCAGCTAAGGATGGCCAATTGAGCCACTCAGGCAAGTGCCCTGTCCCCCCCTCAAGACAGACTTTTTAAATGGGCAGTGATAACATTAACTACAAGAAAAATAAGTTTGATAAATGTGTGCTAAATACAAACACTAGACTGGAGAATGCTGGAGTTCTTGGTATCTAAACTTACTGCTTTCCCCCTTTAAAAAAAAAAAAAAAAGGTTTTTGGCTTGCACTAATTTTTTGGCTGTGAAAAACTGTTAGATATTTTCTCCAAAGACCATTGCTTTTTGTACCAGTATTTTTAGAAAACAAAAGACATTCCAATTCTAATCTCCAGAAAGTCAGCAGTCTTTATAAGGATGTTTTTTCAGATAGCAAAAAGCAGTCCTTTCCATTCTTTAGAAATTCAACAATATCAGTATAAGCTTGCTTTATCTCTTGTATCAAGATTGCATTTCTAAAAAATTATTAGGAGCATATAATCTAGGTATTGCAATAGGCCACGAAAATTAAAATTCACGTTATGTAGGCAAGTAATCTGGATATACCAGAAGGTGTCATGGGATCTGCCTTTGAAAGTAGTTTATAAATTGATCTCAGCCTCATATATTCTTTTATATTTTTAAATTAAAGTGCTTTAGAAATTCAGCCTTGTAATTAAGATAATGTTTACCATTCAAACCTTATCTCCTGAAAAAGAGCCTGCCAAGGAAATGGAAAAGGTATGAGCAACATGGATTGGGAAGATGTGGTCTCTTTAAATGGTAACAGCCTTTTTATGAGATCGTGAAAGAGGCCAATGACCCCTGAAAAACCCAACTGCAGGGGAGAAACCACTGGGTACCACCCAGCCAAAGAAATAGACAATCAGAAACAAAATAAGGGCTCCCACAAGATCCTAATTTTATCACCCAAGGCTCCAATGATGAAATGTGACCTTCTTTTGTGATAAACTAAGTTATCCCCAGGGCTGAACTCTGGGAGGAGAGGCAACAAGCTTTTTTTGAAATTTGTGGGGGGAAAAAACAATGCAGTCCATTCTATTAAATAGGTTCCTATTTAAATATGAAGTTATCCCCACAGATCTCCTGAAAATTATTTTCCTTGTTAACCTGTACACATTATTAAATGCTCCATTTCCCCCTTTTTTGTTACTTTTATTTATTATAGAGTACTTAAGTCCTACAAAAAGGTATATTTACAACCAAAAAGTAATTCCACTTACATTTTTCATTTCTGATGAAAATTGACGTTTCAATATTTCTCAAAATCAATTTTATTCTACCCTAGAATATACTGAAGAGTTGTGAGTGCTACAGAGATAGATATAGGATAACACGATCAGAGCAGAAAATAAGAGAATAGGGTCTCTGTTATTAAATACAGATCATAGGTCCTAATTATTTGCAATTGATACTATTCTGTGGGTTCTTATTTTCCTGGAAGAGAAAACAAAATGAAACAAGCAAACAAAACTCCCAACAATTGTGAGATATAAAACGTTAGTTAACAAATCTTTTCACCACAGGGCACCACAAATAAAAATTCTTTTTACTAAAATATCCTTCTGATGTAGAGGACTAGAGCAGTAGGAGATTCAAGAGGCCAACACATAATTTGAAACATGAAAAGACATGATGCCAACCTAAAGTAGAGAGTATAAGGTTAAAGACAGGGAAGAAGTGGCAGGAGCAGGCAATAAATATTTGACTGTCTAAGGATTGACTAATTATTCACAAATAATTTAAACTTAACCTAACCAAACTGGTGAGCAAATAGGATCAGGTATTGTCCTCAATATTATTTGAGCTTACTAAGTACTCAATCTTTCCCTACAGAGGGCCTTTTTTATAATTACTGAAGTAATTCCCTGGTCTAGAAAATAAAAAGTGACTTCATGAACTATGTCAGTTGTCTGTAAAGGACAATATTGACAACAGCACCATGTCAGAAAATTCTCTCCCACCTCCATCCCTCCTCCTTCTCCTGGATCTCCCAAAGTCCCTTGGGCAGGAAGTGGCTGAACTGATGTAACCATCCAGCCCGCATGTCAATTTAAAATTATATTGCAACCCTTCCCACTACCAGCAGTGGCCAAAAAAGTGGTGAGTATTTGCATTCATATGGCTGGAGGCAAAAGAACCTCTGATTTCAGAGTCACTCCAT